TTTTTGTAATCTCAGTGTAGCTTTTTTTTGTAACTTTTCTTCTAACTTTGGCTTTTATTCTATGATTTTTTAATATCTTCCATCCGTCAAATATGTTATTTTTTAAACGAAAAATATTTCGAAATATTTTCTAGTATTAAATATTACATAAATTACAAAATAAATATGAATTGTAAATATTATAAAATATTACATATTTTATACGAGTTTTATTTCTACGATTGGGTTTGCAACTTTGATCTATGACTGTAAGTTTCACTTCTTATTGAGCTTAAAGAGATGTTTTGAAGAAACAAATTTTTCACATTCAAAGAAAATACTCGACTGGAGAGAAATACATGTTGCGGAGGTAAATATGGAAATATTTTCCGCGGGGATTGCGATATGCAGGTGGTGGACTGTTTACCAGTTTCCGGCTGGTCCAGACATAGTGGCGCGTCGATAAAGTGTGGATTAAGCGACGCGGTCGTTCGTGAGCGCGATGTCTTTGTATTTAAGTGCACTCCGCCATTAATCTCATTTTCCGGAAGAATTATATTTTCCGCGATGTCTCGTTAAATCCGCGGGCGTTACCGTAGCAAAAGCGTATCGAACCGTTGCCTTTAGAGTTTCGCTGGCTATTGTATTAACGTCGAATATTATATTAACTAACCCGACTGATGCTTGCGGCAAACTCCACGTTTATTTCCACCCTTCGTGGATTCTCCGTTGCGGGAGCTCTTGCGCGCGTTGAAATATGCAGGATCCGATGATTAAGGTCGATTAATCGAATATCGAATAAATTCGTTACTCACTTTTTTTGCTCCTAAACCATCCCACGTATCGACTATCGCGACGATAACTTCAAATCGAAAAAGAGCTTTTTCGTGATCAGGACCCTTAAGTCTCGGTTTTTACGTTTCTCGCTCCAAATTTCCCTCGAGACAGGAAATTTCAAGGCGCAACCGGATGGATTTGTGATGTAATACGAAAGACGTAACATGACGTTGTTCGCTCGTATCTGGTCGCCCAATTTGCGATGCCTGACGTTCCGACGAAGGCTTGGCATGTTCGAGAGATCGAAGGACTGTGATTCGCGAGCCGCGCCAGAGGAGACGTGCTCCTCCTCGGCGGATGATGATCCTTGTTGCGAGCCTTGCCCATCATACCCCTCGCCGACGAGACAGCATTCACCATGTCCTCCTCCAGATCCGTCAACGTATTTCTCACGCGGCGGTAACGTTGGGAATTCCTCCTCGCATATCTCGAACTTTCCTAATAAATTCGCAACTTGGCGAATTCTGCGGCGAGATTTAGATGGCTTGGGATTAGAATGATAATTTATTGTCGAAATATATACATAAACGTGAGAGAAACAGAGTTACGTATTATCTTGAAGAAAGAAATTTGAAGCTTTTTATCACGTATAAGTCTAGAATATTAAATAATAAAATAAATGTTATAACATACGTAAATTAAAGATTAATACACTATCAATATGTGATGTTGTAAAGAGATGTTAAATGTCACACGATAATTAAACATAACGCACAAATTATCTTTTAATAAAACTTGTTTTTTTGTTTTATTTCATTTGAATCAAAGTTTTGAGTACGATTAATTAATGTTATCAATAACAACTCATTACGTTTGCTTTATTTCGAGATTTCACTTTTTGTTTCTGATATTTCGCGATAAAGAGAAATTATTTTATAAATGAAAATCGAGCGCTTAGCGCAAATTCAATTTATCGTATAGTATAGAGATGACGAGTACAACGAGCAATTTAATTTCGCCGTGGAATCTTTAGCGATACGCATGTATTAATTGCATGTAAATAACAATATGGTATAACATGGCATACATATTTATACATTGCGAGCACAGATCCACGCAAGCTGGTATTTTGGCGTATGCTGTCCCTCTGCGCGTTTCCTGTGCTCGTGGTCATGTCGGTGATTACTTATATGCGAGAGAAAGAAAAAGCGAAGCAGCCGAGGGAGCCGTTCCTGAATCTTCCATACATGTGTATTCGGACTAAGGTCGGCCTCATTTGTCAGAACTGTCGGGCGAAACAGAATTTAAGAAATCTTTCCGCCGTTACGACCCGGTAGCCGCGCGAACATAGGCTTCCGCCTATGGATCCCGTGTCATTTTACAAGAACAAACGGCGAATTTTTGACCTATCGAGGGTCCGATCGTTAACGAGACGAATGGCAAAGCGATTCTGACGTCGCGGATCGCTGGAATTTATATTACGAGTCGCGAATTGATCAAGCATGAAGATGTGAGATATAATTGATTTGCTACTTCCATTAAAACGAATGACGTTTGAAATTTAAGACTGCATCGCAGATTGCTCTCGTAGAATTTATATTACGATTTGATTCGACATAAAGGGAGAGATGAATGTAAAGTACATAATCTACGATCTTCTTTACTTTTAATTATTATAATGGAGGCAGGATAAATTTTGCAGAATGATTAAATTCCAACGTGAATTACGAAATTTACACATAAATTTTTATTCGTTTTATTTACATTTATCGTAGGTTTGTATGCTTCTTAAAGTTAGACCTATTTTTCTAATCTGTGATCTTGATTATTGATTAATGAAAACCCACAATTTTACTGACAGTTCTCTAATCTTT